CTGTACTCAGTACTGCCATTCTTATATTTTATCATGAGCCTATTTTGTCATATCTAAAGAGAAGTTAATAGAAGTATCCTAAAATGAGCCATTTTACTGTAACATTATAAACATTCCAACACATCAGAGAACCCAGAAAATGAGCCATTGCCTTATACAGCAGAAGGCAATAGTGAAAAAGAAACATGAATTTCTTGTTATCTTTGGTGGTACAAAAGTTTGAAATAGCCACTTTGCTTCTTTAAGGTGGTTTATAAATTAAATTAAAAAAAAAAAATCACTCAGTATTTCTTTCAGACATCAGGCTCAGTATATATCTTTTTACATGCAAAATATTGTTTCCTTTATTGCTGAGCCAAATACTCTTTTCATACGCAAGATCAATACCAGGCACTCATTTTATTACATTTATACCATACTTTGTAGAATTTCAGCTAGAGACAAGTTTACTAAATCCTCATAAAATCTTGCATTGTTCAAAAGTAAATCTGCAGGTTGAATAATGTATAAAGAGTTAAGATCCTCACTCACCAACGGCTTTGTGATAACTGTTCATCTGTCAGAGTCAATGATTGTTTGAGTACTGATTGATGCTACAGTAGTGTAAAACATGTCAGAGGGTTTTGTGGAAACAATCCACTCAAAATATGTTGTGGTCAGTTATAAATGAAATCTCATCTTCCCCTCATGTTCACAGTCAATACCACACTAGCTTGGAGCTTTTAGACATTCCACTACACCATCGTACTTCGGGTGCAAAAATGTAGACAGGAGAAAAGTCAGTGACAAATTTGACTCAAAGACCTGAAAATAAAAGCTCGGAATTCTGCTCTAGTTAATGGCGAGGTCAAGAAAGGGAGTTGTTTGGTGTGTTTTGTTGGCAGGCACTCATCACCAGAATTTCCTAAATGTGTTTGCTTTGCTCAGAAAGAGAAAATATGTAGAAGTCATTGTGGCACAGAAATTCCTTTATTGGCCATTTATGCAACAAACCCCTTTCATGTATCAGAGTATTTGGGCCATAATTTGAGAGGTCACTGAAAGTAACCTTCATCTAATGGGAATTTGGTGACAACAGCAAATTTGAAATCTACCATTGACATAAAGACATTTGTACTTTAGTAACAACATAACATCTGAAGTCAGTATGTTATTCTGTCTGCTCTTTAGACATCAGTTGGTGAACATAAAGAACTCTGACACCTAAAAGTCATTAAAATACTGGGGAAAAAACGGGAATTGGCTTTAGAACTTAATATCCCCTCTTTTTCCCTCTTATTCCAATATTTTCTACTTTTGAACAAGATGTTCAAAAGGATCAATAATCTTCAGAGACTGACATTAGAGTGATATTTTATATAGATTATATCACATATATTACATAATAGATGCAAATATTCCTAATATATAAAACATTCACATGCAAACTCACTGAATGAAATCAAGCTCCCACTAGGAAATTAATGAGCATGTTCTCATTAAATACCATAGAGCCTGGATCCTACACTCTCTTTCCAGACACTTGTGACAGACAAATAAAGACAGGCAGAGAAAGAAGCTTGGAAGTTTCTGGCAAATGTTGTGCATGGACTGACTAAATCATGGTACATCTACACTAGGTAATGGAGTGAAGTGGCCCTGCTGCGAGATGGTAGCCCAGCTGAGTTATTTCTAGGGCTCAAGTTAGTCACCTCCATACAGAATTACTGTGCCACACGGATAGATCAGTTCCCTCCAAGGGAAACAGGGATGGTTTGGCTGCATGTCTTCATATAGCGTAGGTATGTCTCAAGCAAACACATCCGTCCTTTTCTGTCTCTTCCAAAAAAAAAAAAAAAAAAAAAAAAATTCTCTGCATTAGCCATAGTGTCAGAGTGATATTTTCATTCTTTTGTTTGTTGCAGCAGAAAAAGGGACTGTGGTTTGAATCACATGCAACCATTTCTGTAATATCTTTTGCAAAGTACATAAAAAAGACAAAATGTGCTAACAGGGGAGAACTCACCGTCCTTCACATCCACAACTACACACAAAGGAAAAGTAAAACACAGTAACATTCTTGAAAAGTTTGATTTAAAGGATGCTTTTCTGAAAAATGAATTACTCATTTAGGAAGCTGACGGCACAAATTGCTGTCTCTAAATATATATAACTTTCCATGGGGAATAGTGAGGCAACTGAAGATGGAGAGAAGAAAAAAAATCTCCCGGCTAGTCCTTAACAATGCTATACCCTGAGGTTTCACACTCAATTCAAACAGACACCCTAGATCTTAACAAATTTTCATAAGAAGGAATAGTGAAAGCTATGTGATGATCTGAGCACAATGTCACCTGTAAATGTATAAAGGTAAATAAGTAACAGATGTACTGGAAATTCAGCCCAGTTAATAAAAAAAATACAATAAATCTTGATGGGAACAATGAATAATTCACAGGCCACATCACTAAAGTGACCACAGGCAGGTCTGTGCAGAGTCCAGGCTGCACTGTACAAATAATTTACAACTGAACACTGCATAACACAACTGCTGACCGCAAGCAATCTCATCAAGCCAAGTCAGCAGCTCTGCAAACATCAATGCACTCCGGGCGCTGCCATGGCAATGACTTCAAATGGAGCTCTAACCTGATCCTGCATGTGTAACTCTAGCAGGGTCAAGTCTTCATCACCTTTTGTGATGTTTACTTTAAGAGACAAATTATGATCTTGACAGTCTACTGTGCAGAAAGAGGAAAAAAAACCCCTCAAATGGTGCTGCAGAGCCAAATTGTCCTGAGGATTAGACAGGGTAAAACACATATGTGAGGGATATGTTAGCATTTTACCTGGAGAAACTCAGATAGCCAACAACATAAACGCTGCCTGAACAAAAAGACTTGTTACCCCCAAGAATAGCTGTAATTCTATCACAAGGGACACTCTAAAAAGCCAACATCACATTGCAGTGCAGGGGGTCACTGAACATCGGTAGTAAGTTTAACTAGTAGTAGGGGTATGTGTTTCCCGTGGTTTTTAATTGATAATGCTTGTGAAATTTGGCTAAGAATGGATAAGACTGTATGAGGAACTGTCCCTGACTTTATTCTACGGAGGTTACAAAAAAGCCTTTCACAAACCAAGGGGCTGCAGTTATTCCTGAATAACACATGGACACTCTGCTCCCCCAAAAGGAGGTTCTCCTCCTCTGCACAGCTCCTCCTTCATCGTCCCTAATTCTGCTTGATCATCTTCTGCAGTTGTGAACACCTCAGAGATGCAAGAATACAAGGAGAAGACTCTTCAATCTTGCTAAGCCTTCATGTGACGACGTTGTAGCTGGAAAAAGCTATTTGCTAAATATTCATTTTCAAGTAGCTTAAAAATCTAAAATGAAATTACCACTTTCTACATTTGGGTTTCCAGAACATGTAGAGACAACCCATATTCTGAGTCCAGCCTGGGATTTTAAAGATTGAGATACTGCTCAATCTCTTTCTCTGGTTCCCAGTAATAGCCAAGATTTCTCATCTTGACCAAAAATTCAAACCCCATACACTTCATATGCCGGTCTTTTGATAATATGCACAGCAAAGAAAAAAAAGCACACAAGTATGCTTCAGAATCAGAGTCTTTTAAAGACTCCACTTAAACTGGTTTTGGATTAGAACTGTAATCCAAATATTTGCACTGATGCAAGAACTTAATGTAGATAGCAGCACACCACTGGGAAAATATACAAGTACCTGGTAGGTGGAATTCTTCAAGAAACTTATTCACAATGCTTAAGAGCAAAAAAACAGCATTAATTCAATCACAAAAGCAGGTTTCTTAAGAACATATTAATTCTCTGTGCAGGTACAGGAATGTATTTTTATCAGTAGGATAGATAGGGTAAGAAAACAGTGACACCAGTATTTAAAAGCGATGTGTTCCTTTCGTGGGGAGGTGTCCAACTGCTAAGCAGTAAATGCTACTTCCATTGCTATTTCTTATCTTCTGCAAGGTAAAAAAATGGTGGCAGGACCTGGTTTGTTTTCTGCCAGCTGGAATGCAGGCAGCAGATACTTGTGCATATGAGGGAGGCAGCATGCACACCTCAGTCCCTGTAACCAACGTGTCCATCTGTTAGTTTGTTCTTCGGGTAGATGTAACCTAGCGGCTCTCCATTACTAAAGGACAAGGCTCAATGTAGCCTCTTGCTTACCCAAATAATTACAAGTCAAATTACATTTGCCTTTTTGTTTCACTGGAATAGGCCAAAAGAAGTCTCATTTTTTTTAAGCTCAGCTCAAATATAAATGAAATAATGTGAATCCAAGGTAGTTCAACTAAAGCAATTCCTTTGATAACAAAACTGAGCAAATGCTGCTTGCAGCATGTGGCCTCAATACTGGGAGAGGATTCTTCAAGGCAACTTTCACGTACTGGGTGGTTATTTATTTTCCTTTAGATTCAAACATTTGCATGTATAGAAAGAAGCAAGATTTATATATGGCATAACTGAGTCAAGGATCCAGATGACTTAATATCTCTGAATCTCTTCTAACTGCACCAGAGTACACAGCATTTGTGAAAGTACCATGCATTGAATAACAACCAGAAGTTTACCAAGACATTCAAACATTAATCTTTCTTTTGAAGATAAAGTGATTTTTGTACAGGCTTATAAACCAGTCAAGGTTAAATTAATTTCTGTTTGAGAGCAGAAAGTGGGACTTATTTGGAACTTACAGGCTGCATGCCAAGACTTTACACAGAGACTAGTTTCATTCATTTAGACTGGAAGAAATGACATAAAAATAAGCAGGTAGATATATCTGTTCATTCAGATATTTCACGTGCTCATTATTGTCCCTACACCATTGAAAGGTGGCTGCAATATGACTACGTGCTAGCTGGGATTTGTTTATTTCTGATACCACTGACTCAAGCAGATACATATTGCATCCTCCTCAGTGGTTTTGGATGCTGGTTCACAGACTGTTCTTTTATTTAATTATCTTTTTGTTTTGTGTCAGGGCGAGTGTTCCCAGAAGTGCTATTACATCTTCGTCATAGAGACCATCTGTGTGGCGTGGTTTTCCCTGGAGTTCTGCCTCCGATTCATCCAGGCAAGGAGCAAGTGTCAGTTCTTCAAAGGACCCCTAAATATAATTGACTTCTTGGCTATTTCACCCTATTATGTTTCCCTCATCTTGTCAGAGGATGACTCAAATGAGGAGGACGACAGGCCAAGCAGTAACACATATTTGGAGAAGGTTGGTTTGGTGCTACGGGTTTTACGTGCCTTGAGGATCTTGTATGTAATGCGCCTTGCCCGACACTCCTTGGGCTTGCAGACTTTGGGCCTCACAGTTCGGAGATGCACACGGGAATTTGGCCTGCTTTTACTCTTCTTATGCGTGGCTGTCACTCTGTTTTCTCCTTTGGTCTATCTTGCCGAGAACGAATCTGGGAAGGTGCTTGAATTTACAAGCATACCCGCTTCTTACTGGTGGGCTATCATTTCAATGACCACTGTGGGGTATGGAGATATGGTACCACGAAGCGTCCCAGGCCAGATGGTGGCTCTCAGCAGCATCCTCAGTGGGATTCTCATCATGTCTTTTCCTGCAACATCAATATTCCACACTTTCTCCCATTCCTACTCGGAGCTGAGAAAGGAACATGAACGACTGCAGTCTCGGCTAAACAGAGGGAAAAACGGCAATAACTCTGATGAGAGCGACACCTTCAACGAGACAGACAGCTTGATCCTGGAGGATCAAGCATCACCAATCAAATACATTTACACAGGGAACTAAGCCGGGTTGTAAAGCATTTCCAAGAACAGGAATAGGAATATACACATACGTACATCAACATAATACACAAAACAATGCAACAACATAGGTTACGATGCTATTCTCCTCTGCCAGCACAGGTATAATAAGCAGCCAAGCCAACACAGCTAGCTCCAACACATCATTATGGAGCTGGAGGTTTTGAGAATGTCAAAAGTCAGAGTTTATTCAATAATAAATATTCATTCTTCTCTATAACTAATAAGAATAAACTTTGTCTCTGCCAGTCATGTATCTTGCTGAATGCCTAATACTGAAAGAGTAACAAACAAAACAGCTTCTGCTGGCACAAATACACTTGTTATTTTACTTGCCTTTGAATTTCTAATATTCTTGCAATTAACATCTTAAGCCAAGCATTAGAATGCATTCTTTCAGGGCTATGCACCAGTGTTGTTTATACAATGCTCATCCACCAGGCATATAGAAGAAGCCTCAATACAAATGTGAATTCTGCATCTAAAGCCACTAATAAGCTTAAAATAAAAGCACTGTATGTGAAAGCTTTCAAAGTTTGCCTGTGGCCAGAAGATCAATCTATAAATAACAAATTGCACTGCTATTGTATAAAATACATAGTGCTTGCAAGAGAGTTTGCTTGAAATGCAGCTGCAGTCTGCAAACTGTAAACATTTCATACTAGACAGCAAAAGTTTTCAAACTTCTTTTTCATATACTTATTTAAAATAATAATGAGGAATAAAAAGCCCCAAGCTTATTGACCATATTAAAATGAGTTGGTGTTATCTTTTTCACTGAATGGTGATGGCTTCTCTGGAAGAAACATAAAAAAAAAAAAATACAGTTATTGAAAATGAGATGATAGCTCAGAAGTATCCAAAGGTATAAATACTAAAGAATGAGGCAAATGACTGCCAGAGAGGCAATGGGGAAGATGCCCTAATGCAAATGGAAGATGTCCTTTTTGGAATATCCAAGCACAGCCAGCAGAAAGCGACAGGACCACCCAGAAGTGAGCAATGCTACTTCATGGGATAGTCTAGATGATCTTCTACAATTCCACCTTTTAGATGCTGTGAATGCAGTCAGTGAAAACTGATACCAAGTCGGGAAGCTGGGTCTGTACAAACACCTGTGTGTCCAGGGCCTGCCTCGACTCACAGGACTCTGACATGCTGAACGTTGGACACATTTAAGTACTGAGATGAATCAAGGCCTGAATTATTTTTTTAATCAGATTTTCAGCATTCATTATTCCGTTTCTTAAATCTCACCAAGGTCCCTATGACCTTGTGATGGAGCAAAGCTCAGTGGAGTGACCATTCAGTTCAGTTTTCAGCAGGCACCACTGCTGCACAGTACGGCGCAGTCTGGAGCCCAGGGTGACCCGTCTCCCACGTGGACATGCAGACACAGTCCCTTGCAGTTATGCAACTTTATGCCGGCATTTGGGAGTTTCGGTTTTTAGATACTATCCTCACTGCACAGCTTAAGTACAGAAAAGCACAGTTGCTGGCACAGTTTGGATCACATGACTCAAATTAATCTCTTAGATTTATCTTGCCACTGACCCTATGATGTAAACCAGCGAAACTGTAGCAGATTATAGATGGGATGTTCCAACACAACTGGAACAGGTCAACACTAGATAACAAGCGCTTATATTTGCCACATAAAGGATAAGGCTGGATTTTTTTTTTTTTTTTTTTTTCAACAAGCATTTCTTTATTTGTCGTCAGTTCTCTACCCTAGGACTACTTAGATGATAAACCAGACAAAATCCAACCCCAATCCAGACCATGACCCAGACCTATTCCAGGGTCCTATGCATGGTGATGTCACCTGAATTTCTCTGGGAGTCTGGATTTCTTTACAGTTATTCCAGTTTCTTAGGAAAAACAATTGCACACTGCCACAATACTCAGCACAGTCCACTTCTGTGCTTGCTCCTTGCTGACTGATGCCTGCTAGAACACATATCCTGATGCAGAATAGCCACAATTTTAAAAAACATTTGTCCCCACTGACACACGCTTTGGTAATACAATTAGGTAGTGCAACTGATTTGGTTTTTCTAATTAACAGTTTTCTTGCTAGTTCAGGAGTTAGTTCAACATGGTCCTCCAGAAAATTACCCCAGACACATTGTTCTAAACATGCAGATAGCTGGAAAAATACTGGGGCTTTTACTGTTCAAGTACTTACAACAGCTTGATGTCCAACAGGTTCTGGGATGTAGGTGGGATTGTGGACATAACATGCATCCAAATTCACAGCAATCCAAACCTTGACTCAATCAAGCATTTAAGCTTTTGTAAGTTCTTCCAAAACACAATGCAAGAATGTGCTGAAACATGGGAGTTAAATTACACACACAGAAATATCACCAATGTTTAACAGTGAAGCAAGTGCCTGTACTTTCAGCAAAATCAGGACTATAACATATTTCTGTTTCTAACTTAATCTCCTCCTATAGCTGGGTCTGGGCTGCACCAGCTTTCATAGAAAATGTCCTTCATGATTCACTTGTTACTAGGGAGGGAAAAAATATGTTGAGAGGAACATTTAGTTCCAGTGTAACTCAACTGAGTAACAAATTCAGAACAAGCAGTTACAATTAGCAGATATTGTTGTTGCCAAGATCATATCGTTTCATAACTAGACTTAATTAAAAGAGCAGTTTAGGTGCCTGGCATCTAGCTTCTCTTAGTTCAAAGCCTTTTCCCTAAATCTAAATCTGAGAAGCAGCTGAGGAACAGCCCTCACTGATGCATTACAACTCTTTTTGAGCTTCTAATTGCTACTCTGATATAGCACCAACTCCTACTGTATAATGAAGACACCCACAAAACTCCCCACCACGCTGCTTTAGTTTGGGGAAGAAGATAAGTACCCTGCTCCACAAGCCAGCTACAGACACCAGAGAGTGACAGTCTCATGAAAACGCAATACAGGACCCTTCCAATTACTGGTCTGACTTGGAACCAAAACACAGTGAAAGGGTTTTGATCACGGACTAAATGCAAATTTTCTATGATGTTAAAATTGCACTGAGAGGCTAAGACCTTTGCTTTGACCTAACTCTCATTTCTTCAGGGATTCTGCAGATTGTTTCAAATTCTCACTGCAGTCCTTGCACCTCCCAGCTATTCCTCCTTTTGCCTTTCATCCGTTCCACTGGTAGAGAAGCATTACATAAGATGGACATATTATTATTTCAGTAATGAACTCCCATTCATTTCATAGGTCGAGTATTTTATTATTTCTACCCACTGTTAGATCTCTTGAAACTTGCTTTTCTTCTGTCTTTGGCAATCTGAAGTCTGCATCCAGTCACCAGTATTCATAATATAATTAATGCTACCAGGTTTATTATTTAAGTCAAGTAAATTCATTGGAGGGTATAGTACATTATTTTAGGGGTAAATTGCAGAAGAATTCACAGTGTACTGTATATCCCATGCATAAATTGTAGAAGAACTATTTAAAACTTTTATTGATCATTATTTTTATTTCAAACATACCCAAACAGTACTCTGCAGTTATTTTGCACAATTTAGCACATCTGCTGACAGAAATTACACTCAGCCTGCCCCCTCTGATTTTATTCCTAATGATTTTTTTCCCTTCTTTTTTTTTTTTGTTCAGAAAATGATTTTAATACATGGCAGTAGTAGATAAATAATGATGAAAACCTAGAGGGTCAAGGAAACGAAAAGTACAGCATATTCCCTGATGGAACATTAGAAAATTTTTACTTCTACAAGTAATAAATTATTAGCCACATGTTAAAGTTAAAACTGATAAAAGGCTGATATAATACTCATGTTTCCTAAATGGAATCTGGTTTCTGCATGGTAAAAAGCTAGATATTCTAGCACACTTCAATGAAAGTATTAAATTCCTTCCTATGAACCATTTTACTTCTGCAACAGTGGCTTATCTAAGCTAAATTGGGCTTTCACCACTTCTGAGTCGTATTCATGGCACAGTACCTGGCAAAGCCCTAAGAAACTGGACTAGGTTGTGAATATATCAGGTACACAGTATGAACACCATGTTCTCTCCTGGCCTCTGACATGGGGCATTAAACTGGATTTGCCCAGCAGGCAAAGCACAGAATCTGAGCTGAATACTCCTCTTTTCTTACAGGACACCAGCATCCACCTGAGGTCTGCAGAACTCCCCCACTAGTTTGGGCAAAGCAATTGTTGCATACGGGAAGCAGACCTTGTCAGGAACTTAAAGTTCTTGATTTGCAATATCAGGATGGAACCTAATATTCTAGGTTACTTTATTTTTATTTTTTTTTTCTGGATGACTAAAATAATACTCACAAGGAAAAGATGATAAAGAGAAGGATCTAAGGTGCTTCCCTTCCTTCCATTTCTTTACCATTTTACTTCCAATAGAAGCTACTTCTCAAACACTTGTTTTCCTCAGAGCTTAATGTTCCAGTATTTCCCTTATGCCAGTATCTGATCACCGTGAAGAGCTCACACAGAGGTGAAAAGAATCTGTCCCAAAGCTACCTCACTGTAAGAGAGATCTGCATTCAGAATAGCCAAGGAAACAACTCATGTAAAAATCATAGGTGTGGATCACAGCACCACGTGTTTAAGGAGCACCGTAGCAGAATATTACAGTAGATTCAGAAAGAGGGATAAAAATCCAGCTTGGATTTCGTTGTTTCCATGCTTGACTCCTGCCATACTACACCAGTTGTAAAAATCAAGCATATGTCTAAAAGTGAAGTGCTGTAGAAGACCCTTCAGGTGCCTCTCTTCTGAAAGTTACAGTCTGTTATCACCAGTAGTAAGTCCCATAACTAAGTAATAAAACTTAATTATCCTGAAACAACACTTGAAAGTTTAAATCTTAAATGAAAAGGTCTACTGCTTGATACCTGACAATATTGTTTATTAAAAAAATCCTTTAGGACTTCATGTATTAGCGGAAAACTCCACACATGCATATAATAAAGTCATAATATCTTCCAAAAATTTCCTAATTGGCAGTTCTAGTATTCAGCCAAATATTAGTCAGCTAGAAACTAACTACAAGTAAACACGTTTTATCTCAGTTTCTTCCAAATAATTTCTTTTCTTCAGCTTTCAGGAAACTGACTATTCTCAGGAAGAACAAATGGAGTGATACAGAATTTCTCCTCTGCCTAAAGTTAAAGCAGATGAGGTTACACTTTATCTTGACCTTGCAGGGCAATGAAGCCCTCACAATGCCTCTGCGAGAATCCAATGATGTTTCACTTTATTTCAGACAAACAGCACAATCATTCACTGATGTTCCACCATTTGCCTTTAACTCCGCATCCAGGTCCACATCACCTCCCACAGACAGGAGACAGACCAAGTTCCTTCCTAGTTCCACAGCTTTTTTTGTTTTCGCCTGCCCACTTTGGAACCCCACATCAGAAATTGTTCCTTTGCTATACAAAAAGCCATCTCATTTAAGATCTTGCTTATTAAAATTCATAACCTTAAAGGTAGCATGTGACAAATACTAAAGATAATTGGATTGCACTCAGGAACAGAGAATACTAACAAATCAAAGGGAGTGCTTTCACGTCCTTCAAACAACAGGTCTTATACTGTCCTTTAAGTGGCTTACACCATGTTTAAATAAAATATCTGTTAAAATTTTCTAATTAAAATTTCACTTGCAAATCACTGTTCTTGAAATATCTTCACCAGAGCAACAAAGCAGGTAACAATCATGAAACATTATGCCTTGAGGATCTAGTTCTCTAAATTATATAAGTTTTCATTAGTCTGATGTTTTACCTAGCTATCCTGAAGCTTTCCTAATTGCCTAGTTCCACACCAAATTAGTTAGAGCTCTGCTACCTCTGAGAGACTTTTATATGAGAACTTCACAGAAATAATCTTGGCTCAAAGATAACAAACTCCAAGAAATTTCAATGCTTCAGAGAGACAAAATATCTGTGAGCTACTCATGATTAAAAAAAATTATTATTATTATTACACAGTTTGGTAAAGATACACAAATAGAGTCATACAGCACAATTATGTTTTTTTACAGGATATTTTTAGGAAAAAGAAGGTGAAACCATATATGTTGGAGCCATCTCTATCCGTAATCCCAGGTTTAAGACACAGGTTCGTACCTTGAACAGTGTTTGCAGGATTTAGTACAGTCATTTCCAGAGCTGATAAAGATAATGCGCTCATTAAGGTGTAAGCATGCATGCTTAAACAAATTAAACTAATTTTATACTGATACAAAGATACCCAAGGAAAACTGAAGGTCAAATATATTTATGCCATTAAGTAATTCAGAGATTGTGAAATGTTCTAACAGAATTTGAAACTGTATTTTGTCTACAGAATTTCAAGAGCAAGGGTATTGGAGGGAACACTACACAGAACAAAAAGATAAATCAGTTTCAAATTATCTCCCAAAAGAGCAAAATATGTCAGCAGCATAGGTTTGATGCTCTTTAGTCACTGTCTGTTGAAATAACAGCAAATTAAAGGCCCATTTTTGCAGGTTGTTTGATAATTCCTGCAACCTGCTAAGTGCCTGTGGCTTCGTAAAAGTCTAGAGAGTTTGAATCACCCAGTACACCGAAAACTCTAAGAAGCACAACTAAATAGTAACTTAACTAAAGGTACTTAAATTTTATCCCTGACTATACTTTAGTTCATTGAAGTAACACAGATTCTGACTGGTTTTAGAAGAGACCTCTATGTTTCACACTGCCTGCTTCTATATCTCATCTTGGAATACCAAAGAAAAAAGAAAAGCAGCCTAGATGTGGTGTAAATCAGTATCAGTAAAATCCATAGACTTAATCCAACTTACCACGGTTGAGTGTAAGGCTGTAAGCACTTCTGCATTGCTGCAATATGTTCACTGTCATTCTCTCCCTTCATCAAGTGATTCTGAAATGTAAAAAAGTCAGTCAGAAAGCTGAAGAGAAAAAGCAACCTTCCTTTTACCACCACGATCAACACTTCAGGCTTCACAAGTTTTGTTGGACTGTGATCCCTGCAACCTGCTGACGAGATCTGCAAACCCAGACACAAACACAAGCCTTTGCATTTCCATTCTTATCTATACTCCTACCACTGCGTGCTGTAGTTTTATATTTATGTTGATCTTCCTATAAACACTGACCATGCACTCTCTGAAACGGCTACACTGAACTCTCCCTGACACCTGCATTTCCAAAAGGGAGGAAGTTTCATAAAACCTCCAAAGATTTCCACCATGGCTGATTCTGAGTGGGAAACTGGAAGAAAAGGGATACGATTACTGATTCATCCTGTTTCCAACAGAGAGAAGAGGAGCCACCAAAGGGCTTCTAATAGCAAGGAATATCCCAACCCATAAACCACTGTTAGACAAGTGTTGTGTTCCTGTGCATGGGAGAGAATACACTCCAAGTACAAGGAGGTGCTGAACCTGCTCCTTAAGGGCATGCTCATTGGAGAGAAAAGCTGGCACAGTCATAGCTGTTTGCTTGCCCAACTCCAGCTAAAAAGCAGCACCGAAGACTTGCCAATATTTATGTGATTCTCTCATTTTATGCAGAGAGCAAGAACAACCAGCCAAAGAGCCTTGGAGCACCCTGAACATAACAAGACAGCACTAGCACTCATTTCTCTTAACTGCTTTTCTGCTTAATAATCAAGCTTATATTATTTTTGGAAGTTTTCCTCTACCAAGATGTGGTGGGTAAGTCAAGTGGCTTCTAAACTGAAGACTCTGCACAGGGTTTAACCCTGTTATTATTTATGCATGACTGGGTCTCATGAGATAGCGGGGATGCAGGTCTAGAAGAATGAGTACTAATGGAGGGTTTTCTCAGGAAGCCTGTGGGTTTGCCCATAAGTAATCACTCCAATTTCCACAGCTCACTGGTTGCCACAGATACAGTTTCCTCTTTCTCTACTTCCCCTCATGCCTTTGTGCTGCACAGGGACAATCCATTTTTTATTCATAGGTTTTAGAAGGATCAGTAAATACGCTATGCCATGGCAGACAGTTTTTAAGCTAACATCTCCCCAGCTGTGACCTGCAGTCACACATCTGAGGAGTGAAGTGTATCTCTACCACTGCATTGGCCTCCCTCCCAAAACAGTCACTCGGTGTACTTCTGACTGCAGAAAATCATTGAAGTGTCTGATCAACATATGCACCAAATGTCCAAATGAGTGTAACTGAATCCGCAGGAACACCGCTTTGGCACTGAGACAGTATTAAGACATCAGTGTTCAGGATTTTCTCCCACTCTTCCTGTCCATCAAGGAAGCGAAACACACACAGACAGATGATGTGCTCACTCTTCAGGGGCTGGTTTCAGCTCCGTTCCAGCCAGATCTGAGCCTAAGACTAGAGGCCAAAGAGGACCCCCCCCAGTCAAGTCACTGTCACAGCCCCCTTCTTATTTAAGATCTTCTCTATTTTGTTACTGCCTTCTGAGACAAACACTTTATAATATCACAAGGTAGCTATAAGATACACTTCTAATGCTTTTATTCAAAGTATAACACTACACTGAAAATAGATTGCTCCAGTGATTGAGCTCTTTTTATCTCTGGAACCTCTGTCTCTTCAACATATGAACTACCAAATCAGAATTCATTCAACCTGACAGCAGTGGCTCCTAAAAATACCTCCAGCCTATGAAACCCATAGCAGACCATGAGCACCCTGCCTCTGAATGTTGCTTTCCAAGCCAAAACATTAGTCCGTTTATAATTGACAGTGATGATTTGCATCATACAAAGACAATTCAGCACAACCAAGTCTTCTTCCCTCTCCCAAACTTCCTGGTTTGGGAAGAGACCCCACCTCAAAAACACTTTGCAAAGGCCCTGCAGCAAATTCTGGTCTGCCCTGGATGCTCTCCCAGAGGTCCTCACACCTTCTGTCTGACAGCCATCTAGTGGTACCTGCACGGCTTAGCAAGGGAAAGGAGCAGCTAACTCCGTGCTCAGGCAGATGGGTCCTCTCCTGTGA